GAATAATTATATATAAGAAATAATTCCAAGAGCACTGATAATGGGTATTTGCCAATACTCGAAACAGCTGCATGGCCAGACAAAAATTCAATTCATGTAAAATATTAAAAAATTTTGTTGTTGTAATTTCACTACCGTTTGATAAAAATGTCTCTATTAAAAACAATCGAAGTGAAACCAGCAGTAGAACAGGGCGACTAAGTTTTTTTTTGTTGGAAAGACAGTATGCAGCAGGATTTAGAAGAAATGAACATAGGAAATAGAAAAACAAAAACAAAAAACAGAAGAATGGAAGACTGTTGTTAAACAGGCTTAGGTCTTACATGGACTGTATAGTCACAGATGATGATGATGATGATTAAAAACAATAGTTTTAAGAAATTAATTTCTTTCGTCAAAATGAACGGTAAAAATCAATTTAATCAACCAATTTAATAAAATAATTAATTGTAATATTAAATAATTCTATTATTTGTGACATAATGGAACGTTGTGTTTCTTTTTTTGTTCTTTAAAGTCTCCGATTTTTAATTGACTTATTTCTTCAAAGGATGTATACATACGTAAGGTATATACATTGTGACCGAAAAGTTTCCGGAAATAAATAAATAAAACGCAAAATTCTTAATCTTCATCAATATTTATTTTATCTCCTTCAAAATATCCCAATTTAGAAGCGATACACAAATGCCAACGTTCTTCCTAAATCAGAATCAAAACATTTTATAGGCGCTTTCCGGTATGGCTTTGAGTTCCCTCTGCGAATTCTGTTTTACGTCTTCTATGGATTCAAAACGCGTTCCTCTGAGTGGTAATTTGAGGTTGGGAAACAGGAAAAAGTCACACGGTGCAAGATCAGGTGAATACGGTGGCTGTTCGATGGTATTTATTGAATGTTTGGCCTTAAAATCGTTGATAATGTTGAACAAATTGAGGTGAATCGGAACAAGCCGAGCGTTGACACGTCGCATACACAAATTGTCCACCAAAATCAAACGAGCCATCTCACGACCGATGCCTAGCTCTCGTGCTATCTCTCTAACACTCACATG